CCTTCTTGTAAACCTTTTGCATTTCCTTTCATGAGGGCATCTCTTGATTGTTGACAATCACACATCTACTTTGTCCAACCACTGGTAGGACCTGGATGTCAGCCACTTCCTCTATCTGCCGGTGGTACATACCGTGCAGGAGCTTACTTATCCTTCCATGATGGTTCCTCCTATTTTTTGGGTTTCTGCTGCCTGAGGCATTCACTGAGCACATGGTCAGTTGGGGCTGTCTTCCTGATGTATTCATGGATGTTTTTTGTCTCATCCTGGACTGTGGTACTGACACTCCCCCAGCCGCCTTCCTTCTGCTTAGCATACAGCCTCAGAATGCTGGACTTGGGGTGAAACCCTCCATGCATGGTAAGGTGGTCTTCCTGGTCTCGATGTCAGTGGCTTCCATCTCCTCCTTTGGCCAACTTATTATCCCAGCAGGGTACCTGATCATGGGGAGGGCTTGGTTTTGATAGCCCAGAACTTATTCTTACTGAATAGGATAAGGGACCTATGATTGTGTTGAAAGTAATCACATGTTGATTGATTATAAAAGGGTGGTGTACAGAGACAGAAGTACTATGTAATATATATATACACATAAATAAAATGTTCAGAAATTCATAGACCTAACTGACCATTTACAACAGGACTTCTGTATGTCTCAGGGGAGATCTGCCCTGGCCACATATGTATCGAGTCTTGCACAGAGTATAAGTGTTGAGTATTTTAGAGTAGCATAAAAACTGGGACCAAAAATGACCTCATGAAGGCCTCCTGAGAGCGATTAGTGGTTTTATTGAAGCCTTCTTACAGTAAACAAGTTGTCATGACTGAAGTGGTCCATGTGCTTTTGCTTTTATTAATTGTAAACAGTCTAAAAACAATAATTTCTCTACACAAACTTGTAACTGGCTTTAATTTCCCCGATTCATAAACCTTTCACTGCCATGTCTGTTTTAGCTCAGCGCTGGGATTAAAAATAGCACTGCACTTCTTCTCTGCATGGCATTGTGCTAACAGGACCTCATTCCTGTAACATGATACTCCCTCTCCATTTTGAGAATACCACTGGGATTACCACTGTGTATATGGACACACAGCAGCCTCAAGTGCATGTGATGAAAGAGACGAGGCACTGGAAGAGTCTCTAAACCATTTATTATGTTTCCTTACAGCTTTCCTGCCCTTATTCCCATCAGCTGTGACACACAATGTGATGAACATAATTGACACTTTACTTTTGGCAGGACAACAAATGAGAGAATGGATCACGCACAACTAGAGGGAGGTAAAAGCCACAGAAAAAAAACAAAACAAAAAAACCCCCAATCATAATTACACAAGAGACGCCAGTAAAAAGACAGAGTTGATCGACATGAGCTGTCACACAGTTTTACACAGAAAAAAAGTTCATGAACTCTTACTTAAAGTGTGGACTGCCCGTCCACCTCAAGGTGTAATCGTCAGCCTTTACAGCTTGAGCACTCTGAGTTGCTTCTAGTTTGCACAGACTATTCTCAGTGGACTTGACTGTTATCAGTGCAGTACAGTGTGTGTCAGCCTGTCCCTTTTCTTTGTGACAAAATACAACCCCCCGCCCCCCTCCAAAAAAAGGAAAATGAGGGAATGACATCATCACAAATGCTTTGAATGAAAAAAGGGGAAAGGACTAAGTGCTGAGAACGAGGGATGAAGAACTGGACCGTCTGGAGTTGGACTCTAATCCAGTCGCATTGCAACTGCCCGCATTTTATGCCTTAGCGTTGATGATGTCGATGAACTCTGGCTTCAGGGAGGCTCCGCCTACGAGGAAACCATCAACATCCTTCTGGGAGGCAAGTTCTTTGCAGGTAGCACCGGTGACAGAACCTGAGGAGAAGAAATGACGCTTGAGAAGAGATCGATGTGGGACTCAAAGGAAAACAGCTACCCAGCACAGCACTGACCTCCGTAGATGATCCTCACAGAGTTGGCAACGGCCTCAGAGACGTTGGTCTTCAGCCACTCCCTCAGTTTCTCATGAACTTCCTGTGCCTGAGATATTACACAGGTGACATTGTGTTGCAGGCTGTAAGCACAGCAAGTTAAATATTCAGTGATTTCTAATATTTACCTGCTGTGGGGAGGCGGTTTTCCCAGTGCCAATGGCCCACACAGGCTCGTAGGCGAGCACGACCTTGCTCCAGTCCTTTACATTGTCTGTGAAAGAGACGTGTGATAAGATTTATATTTCACAAGAGTTCGGATATCCACCACACTCTTGCTTGCACAAGCATGTACAAGAATGTCTGTTACAACATTTGAACTCATGTTGGCATAAAACCTGTGAGC